ACTTTAAGCATATGCTTTCAAATAAAGACCAAGAAATACATCGAGATTGGATTAGACATGGTGGATTGTGACATTAAACGTACTAAAATAAAACAGAAAAAGGAAATGTGACCAGTTTGTTTGTCATTTAAGTCTTATTAAAGAAAAATGTAATAATCCTCTGGACATAGTCTAAAATAAAACATTAAGAGTCACATATGTTTGACCATGTGAACGTATGATGTCAAAAAGACACAGGAGCTCCACAGCTATTGGCAGACATGAGTGGTTCTCATGAAGTCATTCCTGAAAATGATTGGTCAGGAAAATAATCCACTGACGAGAGATCACAGCACCGAACATCAAAACCTGACTCCAGGAGAGTAGTTCTCAGTTCAGATAAAATTCAGTCAGCAGGACTGTTATTTGTATCTTTACTTTAAATTAAAGGGGAAGTAAATTGAAAGCGTTTAATAATTTGTGCAAAACCTGAAGATGACAGCTTCACCAAACTGAAAACAACAACCCTCTCCTCAGCAAGGGATTCTCAAAAACTTGTAATCAACTAATGACAAAACTTTTCTCTTCTGGTAAATGTTTCCATGAGGGATGAAAACAACCTTGCAAAGCTAATTAATCTATCAAAACATGCAGGTCACATTGCTCCACAGGCATTGTAGCATCCTCGCTGCACAATTTAAAGATGGATCAAAAGTTAATATCAAGCCTCTTCATCTCAGCACGCATTCTCTCAGTCTTCCTCCTCTGCGAGTAAAAAAAAAAAAAACACCCTCTGTCCCTCAAGTATCTTATTGTCATTCCTAATAATGCCTCAGAATCATAAACAATCCCACAACTTTTTAATATTTTATTCAGCCCTCTCTGTTTATGCAGTTCCCATAAGGCATTGCCTTTTAGAGTCTCCCTCTCCTGCGACAAAGACGTCGGGAAAACAAATAACGGCGGGAAAAAACAAACAAAACCAAGTCTCCTGAAATACCTTGTGGATGCCCAGAGGAAGGTGCTGGACAGACAGATGAGCAGATAGGTTTCCTCTGTCCTCCTCTCTCAGGCTGCCTCCTCTCTCGGCGTGCTGTGGAGAGTGACTGCTCACAGCCCGCCTGGCATATCTAATTAGAGCCAGGCTGTTGCCACTATCGGGCAGAGGATCTACCTCTCCAATCTCTCCTGACTCAATCTTCCCCATCTCTGATTTTCTTTTATATTTATGCTGGAATATTTAATTGTAGACAAAAGGTTACTCTGGGCTCTATTCATCGCACACAGGCAGAATAATCTCCTTTAAAAGGCTTGACATTTCAGGCTTTTCAAAGGGGGCTGAAAAAATTATATCCCCGCTTTTGTTAATCAATGAAGTAGAACTCCCCCGAACAAAAGAATTAAATTGCTTGGTTGGGTTAATAAAACACACAGAAATAGCTGCTTCCTGTGGGCTTTTGTGCTTGCCACTGGCTCCCCCCATATGCAACCAGCACTGTAATTCCATATGATTTAGGGAGTGAAAAAACTCATTTCTCCACACAGTTGGCTTTTTAAATCCTATTGAATGAGCAGTCTGTGAGGCTGGCTGATTGGGACCTCTCGCCTGAGCCTGGCTGCCTAGCTGCCTGGCTAGCAGAACAGGCTCTCTCCATTTAAATGTGACTTCCACCAAGGAGAGACAGCGGGTCCACTACAATTTACAATTTCTATACTGCCCCTGCTTCAGAAAAACATTGTAATTATGCAAATGATAGGGGCAATAATTAGGCCCTTCGCTGTCCCATTGTGTTAGCTGGTGTTCTGTTGCGGTCCAATGGTAGGAGAAACGCAGCAGGGTTTGAATCGCTCCTTACAGAAAGCCTGCAGATGTTCATGGCATCGTCCGTCCTGTAACCAAGCATCACCTGAGCCGGGGTTCCCAGATGCATGATACAGTGGCAGCAGCCTCTGGTTCATCTGTCTGAGAGCGAGGGGTCACTTCAGCATACTAGTGTTTTAACAGAGGTGTGGCACACCACTTTGTATCCTTACACTTTAACACCACTTGTGTGTTGTGCCGGCTATAAGAGCAGCTTGGATTATCATCTGTGCGAAGAAGTCAACTTTTAAGTTATTCAAAAGAAAAATTCAGGTTTTTCAAATGACAATTTTTCACCTTGAGCTCTGGTAAATAGTTCAAATCAGCTTTTAACCATTGTTGGAGCATTTGTGGCTAAATGTTTATGACACAGATTAATCATCACAAAAAGAAAAGACAGGTAATGATGTTGTGTTTACCAGAAAACTCAAGGATGTCGATTCACACTCAACGGCTTGTAATTTAATGAGCATCAAACTGTGAATACAAGATGTGGGATTGTGTTTTCCTTTTCCCACATCTGTAAGTGGAACACTTGTAAACAACACTCACAAGTATTACTGTAACTATAGTAAAACACATCAGGGTTTGTTCACCCAAACTCTCATCTCTGTAATAAAGTCATCCTGTTTTTAAGTTATGGCAGGAAGTGACCACTCCACTGCCTCAGACTCACTTCAAGTGACTTACATGTCCAAAGATGTCTGGTGAATCAGATAAATACTGAGCTTAACTGGCTGAATTATTCATACACCCTGAGACAGTTAGCTAACACGAGACAGTTTGCTAACACAAGAGAGTTGGCTAACACGAGAGAGTTACTTAACATGAGACAGTTGGCTAACACGAGAGAGTTGGCTAACACGAGACAGTTACTTAACATGAGACAGTTTGCTAAAATGAGACAGTTAGCTAACACGAGACAGTTTGCTAAAATTAGCCAGTTTGCTCAAATGAGACAGTTAGCTAACACGAGACAGTTTGCTAACACGAGAGAGTTTGCTACCACGAGACAGTTGGCTAACACGAGACAGTTTGCTAACACGAGACAGTTTGCTAACCTGAGACAGTTTGCTAACACGAGACAGTGTGCTACCACGAGACAGTTGGCTAACACGAGACAGTTTGCTAACACGAGACAGTTTGCTAACCTGAGACAGTTTGCTAACACGAGACAGTGTGCTAACACGAGACAGTGTGCTACCACGANGAGACAGTGTGCTAACACGAGACAGTGTGCTACCACGAGACAGTTTGCTAACACGAGACAGTTTGCTAACCTGAGACAGTTTGCTAACACGAGACAGTTTGCTAACACGAGACAGTTTGCTACCATGAGACAGTTTGCTAAAATTCGACAGTTTGCTCAAATGAGACAGTTTGCTAACACGAGACGGTTTGCTACCATGAGACAGTTTGCTAACACGAGAC